TAATATTTCTGTAAAAACAGTTTAAAAACAACATTGGCTGCATCCACACAATGCTATGGAATTTTGGGAACTGTAGTTTTGTGAGACTTTTGTCCTTCCCTGTCAGAGAGATCTGGCGCCATAAAAAACATTTCCCAGAATTCCATAGCATTGAGCCATGGCAGTTAAAGTGGTGTTGAACTGGATTATTTCTACAGAGCAGATGCAGCCATAAGCAAGCACTTATGGCCCTTTTACCACAGTTATAACACTATGATTTCAATTTAACTGCCATGGCTGCATCTTATGGAGTCCTGGGTTTGTTTCTGGGGAAGGCTGAGAATTCTCAATACCCTTCCCTAAACTGTAAATCAAAGGATGCCATAGGATGTTGCCATAGCAGTTAAAGTGGGACCATAGCATTATAATTCTGTAATGTAAAAGCCTCCTTCCTCCAAAAAAAAAAAAAAATGGTTAAAGTTATGTGGAATAGCTTCAGTTGAAACCTCATTGTTAATGGTTTGAACTGGCTGAAAGCTCATTTTAGGATGCCTAAAATGGTTAACCAGTTGATTGATTGCCAGACAATCTCTTTTGTTGCATGGTTTAAGCTTAACCAGAAGTAGTTCAATGTTACATGCAAGAATTGTTTACCGCTGTTCCCCCAGGATGCTTGAATAGGAATTGGGAGAAGGATCTTCTCCCATTTTGAACAGGTATGGTTGAACCAAGGATCCCTTATATATATATATATATATATATATATATATATATATATATATATATATATATATATATATATATATATATATATGAACCAAGGATCCCTTTTGAAAGGAAATATGTTTGGTCATCCTCTCATTCATTGCAATGGACTCTAAGATAACCTATAATTTCCTGAGCTGCGTGGAGTGACTCCTGCACCATTCAGTAAAGGTTATCTAGAGTCCTGCTGGTAAGCTGGTATTGCCCAGGGGGCAGGTGCTGAGGGTCAAAGAGCAGCAAGCAAGCTGTTGCAAGACAGAACAGTGCATGTCACAACATCCTCTTAAAGCTAACCTGCAGCCATCAAGTATAGTAGAGACTGTGCCAATGTTCAAATTAACTAAAAAGTCAGGAGGGGAAGCCCTAATTCAGTCTTGGCTGCACATAGATGGACACTGTCTGTTTCTCCCTTGACACAAGGTGCCAGTTGTGTGCTCAGCCAGAATCATCCACTGCACCCACTCATCCCCAATCGGAGCTCCGTGCTTGGACCCAATAACGTATTGCCCGTTGCTAAAACCCTCTGAAATGGCCATCAGAGACCACCTTTTACATCATTAGTTCTTGTGTGTGTTTGTGAGCAAGTGTCTTTGAGTGAAAACTGATTTCCCCTTGTTATTATAAATAAGCAAACTATTTGGAATCTGCTGTTTTTAATTTGTATTGTTTTAAATATGTTGTTAGCCACCTTGAGTTCCATTATCTGGAGAAAGGCAGAATATAAATGAATAAACATTGCTGCTGCTGCTGTTGCTGCTGCTTCGTTCACCATTTTTTAACTAGAGTTAAAAACACGCTGGGAGGTGAACATCTGGAAGATTATATGCTTGGGCAGCTGAGTAGGCCTCAGAGAGGCCATGTTTAAAAACAAACAATCCCAGCACTCTGAGTAGCACTTAAGTTGGTGCCATATTAATTTCATACAATACTCCTTGTTACAGCAGCCAGGGCCTTCTCAGCTAGGGCACCTCAGTTACGGAATACCTTCCCCTTGCAGGCCTAACTGATGCCAACACTAATGTAATTTGGCTCCCAAGTTAGAACATGGCTTTCTACTAAAGCCTTTGGGAACTAATTGATTTTTACCAAAATCTATGTAGGCACATGGTTATAATCTGTTTTAGCTGGCTTTGTTTTGTGATGTAAAAGAGAGATGATGGCTTGCAAAGGTCACATTCCTCTTCCAAGGCAGAGACCCTGCTCACATCCATACCTGAGGATTGTTTGTTATAAGGATTTGCATCTTTTCTGATGCCACATCTGGCTTACTGCAGTCAAATAATA